CGGCGAGCTCGCCGCAGCCTAACCTTAGACACCATCTTCTTGAGCTGGCTCTCCGACAACGCCATGACGGCCGTCCGGCGACTCCCGTCCTCGCTGGCAGAGGGTCAGCCGCTCCGGGGTCGCCCCAGGCCGCCCCAGACAATCGCACACCGAGTGGCCAGCCCCCCACCCCCCCACTTCTAACAGGAAGTCAGCGCCACTGCAGAACTTCCGCTTCCTGCAAGGGTACGTCACTTCCGGGGCTGTAGTCCGGCGGAGACAGGTGGACGCCTTAAGCGACCTAGGCTGGGCGGGGAGTGGGTTCAGACTAACCAGCTGATGGTGTGCTGGAACTAGTTGGGTCCCAAAGATAGGCCAAACCCGTTCCAAAGGTCGCAACTCTGCGCTGGGATGAGCTTCACATCACGTCTAGACTCAGGAAGCAGGTGCAGGAAGGAAGAAGTACGAAAGACTTGCAGTGAGTCTTACCTAACGACCGAGGGATGAAGTGGGAGAGCCCTGTACTCTGGGGAACAGCCTACCTTCGACTTGGCCTTGTGAAAATTGTAAAGGAATGCACTTTTAGCCCGTGTTTTAAGTTTTCCCCACCTCTAAGCGAAGCTTGCATTAGGAAGATGCCCAAAGTTACTTTGGTAGTCACGTTTTTAAAGCTTAAAAGTTCTTCATCCTACATTTGTAATGTCAAAGTGTGCAAATCCCTGTTTGTCAGGAAACCAGACATAAATGTCCGACCCACGATACCTTTCCCTAAATCAGAACTTGTGTGTACCCAGACATAAATAATACGGGATGCCTTCTAACCTTGCCTTGAATTTGTTTGTTTTTTGTACTGGGGATCGAACTCAGGTCCTTGTGCTTGCGAAGTTGCCTTGAATTTGTGCGCTAGCCTGTTCACCATTAAAGTCCGAGTTCTAGAGATCAGGCCTATTTCAGATCTTCATTGTTCTAAAGAGTGCAACAGTAGGTCCTCGATCTTGAATTTCAATTTTCAGAAAATCTCATTGTAGTGACTTACGTTAGTTGTCACTAGTTTTATAAGCAGAGTATCAAAGTAGCCTAAAGATTAGGTTTGAGAATGTTAAGTGTAAGTTTGGGTGGTTATAGTATAGCCTAATGAGAACAAGACCGTGGTATTGATTCCCTTCTAAACAGGCATCAGGTGTAAGTGAAGCCACAGAGGGGAAGAATTGAAAGCATGTTTAAGTCCTCATTATAAGTTACTGCCCTCAGGCTGGGGATTTAGCTACCTCAGTGGTTCCACCAAACACAAGGAACGAGTTTGAGCCCTAGTATGAAAAAATATTGTTGCTCTCATACATGAATAAAGCTATTGCAATAGCCATTACTTTTTTTTTTTTTTTTTTGTACAGGGGATTGAACTCAGGACCATTGAACTTTCAAGGCAGGCACGGTGCCACTGAGCTAAATCCCTAGCCCTCCAATAGCCATTATTCTTTAATGACCATATATTAGCTCCAGTAAAAACAAATGGCCAGTCTATCCTTCCAGTGTACTTCCTGTTTTATATTGCTTAAAAAGCAAGCTGTTCAAAATAGTCGTGAAGCTACATCTTACTCAGAAGTACTTTTAATTAGAGCAACTCTGCTTCTATAAATTGGAGGGGCATCAGATAATACATTGTTCAAAAATTTTTCTTGCTAAAATAATTTTTAAACCTTAAAAATGATTGATACAAATCCAATCTTCATTTTGTACACCACTTGAAATAATTAAATGTCCTGAGTTCTGTATAAATTATATGAAAAAAGTCTCACTCTGAATTAAATTTCATTTAATAAGTCAGGCATCATCTGGTAACTTTAAAATCAAAAGTTTATTCATTATTTTGTATATTTAAGGAAAACAATACAAATTGGAAAATAAAAAATATTTCTTCTGCAATATCAAAAAAGTGTTTTAATCTAAAAAACATAAGAGGTACTGCATGATTCTGGGAAAATGAAAAAGTTAAATAGAAACATTGGGAGTGTTAATCACTAAATCATAGTGAAGTGGTGCAGCTTCTCAACTTCTTTGTGGAACTCACAACATAATTGCTAATACTTTTTTTTTTAGAATATGTGCTGCCAAAGCAAGCTCATAATTGCTAATACTCAATACTCAAGTAAACACCTGATACAGAGGATTACTTCCATACTGTGGCCTTCTGGGGGATAAGGACTAATATTTATATCTGAATATTCAGATTCTAACATAATATTTGGAATAATAGTAGGTGCTCAATAAGTATTTGTTTTATTGACACGGTTGCTTTATAATTCATATAGTGAATTCTTAGCATTTCACCTATTATAGTATTTTACAGCTAGATTATAGTTCGAGATTATACTAGAAATTTGATTTTAAGAATTACCAAATTTCTACTTCCTTATTGGAGGAGCTTAGTTTAGAAAACACAAATTATTCTTTTAGTTTTACTTTCCTATTTCATACAAAAGGACAGTATACACTGTTAGCGTAACAGGTGACAACAGAAGGTAACAGTAGGGTAAAGGAGGTTTTGGTAACAGTGAAATATTCTACATGGAACTAATGTTTACCTCTTCAAATAGCCAGTTTGTTCATTTTGCAGTGCTATGACTGAACCCAGAGCCTTGCATATGTAAGGAACATGCTCTACTCATGAATTACATCCCCGGCCCAAATGTCCAAGGTTTTTATCCAGTAGAATCTGTGTGACTCTTTCCAAGCATCTTACTTTTATATGTTCCCAAGCATGGGATACTGAATTTTACCTTCCACTTAGTGTAAGTTCATCATTACAACTAGCAATTACTACACTAGGCATTACTGTATCTCTTGCTTCTCTACCTATGATATGTCTACCTTATTTGGCTCATATCTTCCTGACCAGATTGTTTCACCTATTACATGTTTCCAAAACACTCTGGATTGGTTCACAATACTGATATTTGTGAGATTTGATTACTGTGTTTCCGGTAGTAAGTCTGTAAGGACCAGGGGGGCTTGTACCCGGTCCGGGCATACTCACCACTAGTTCCTGGTGAAAATATTGCTATTGACCGATCAACACAAAGCCTATGTGTTCTGAATCATTCTTCTGGAATGATAAAGGGTTTGCTCAGAACCATCAGTCCATTCAGTCCCTCTCCCTTAAGACCAACGGTTTTTATGAAAGCCTTATATTTTGGCTTCAAAATAAACTGCTTGACTCTTATTCATAATAAAATACACATTTATCTATGCTTTACTAGTATCACAGTAAATTTATGACATGTTGGGGATCTTACATAGCCGAGGAAGAAGTTGTAGAAAATTTCAGAAAGGAAATTTCATGGAAATTAAATTATATATACTTTTTTATAATATTAATATTTCTACTTTCCCTTTTATTTTAAAATATATATAATCTTTTCTAACTTGTAGTTAATGAATTTGAAGAAGGAAAATAAAATGCTTACCACTCCAGCAACTGTACTTTGTAAAAGAAATAAATACCCTACACTGTGGATCTTCTGAATTTTCTAAGTAAGGCCCATCCTGGGCCTTCAGCTTATCATGTTTATTACAAAAGTTGATTTTCTTTTCAGGATATTTCCAAAGTGCTCATGTGCTTTAAATTTAGAATACACAATTTAAAATGATGGACATAGCAGGTGGAATATTTATCCCAGCTATAGGTTTAAAGAATATAGATTTGTCAAGAACCTCCCCTTAAAATAGATTTTTTTCCTTTCCTTATCTAACTCTTTTAAGGATTCAAATTACAAAACTAATCAAGGAACTATCTACTTTAACCAAACAGTTTGTAAAGATAAATAAAAGCCACAGAAGTTTTCAAACGTATAAATGTTGGCGAAACTAAATGAATTTTCCTTTCAGGTAACTGTGTTTGAAAATCAAAGTTTTAACTGTTGTTGGAGACCATGGATTGAGGACGCACTGCTCTGGAGTTTCTCGGTCACTGTAATTTCTTTCTCTGCAGTTTTGATGATTTCAGATACCCCACTGGTTCCGAGGATGCAAGGCAAACTTAAAAACACTTCACTATTTATATCATAATATCCCTGAAATTAAAGAATAGGGTTATCATAGAACTGAGTCACTGTACAAAGTTAAATCATAAAAACGCATGCTCTCTTGCTTTTCTAGCTCTAGTACAAAATGATAACAAGTTAAGCCTGATTTTTTTGGTTTAGTTTCTAAACTCAAATCGTTATTTCCAAAAGTTTTTAAGAGCTGGATAGAACTAGTCAGACACTACCTTTGTAGGGAGGTAAGCTAGCTACTGCAATATGGGCAGCAGGTTGACGACTAAGAAAAATGACAGAGTGAATGAAAAATGATGGATTCCTTGGCGTGGCGCACAGCCTGGCCCAAATACAGCAGCCTCTTTGACATTTTTCTTTTATGTTGTATCCCCCCCTCCAAATAGTCCAAGTATTCACGAAACTTTTGATGAGTATTTGTAGCTCATCTTAGCTGTGCTTTTGGGAATCTATGCTCTGGCTAAAGTGACAAAAGACAACTGCTAAAGTAGACTGATGACCAGCTCAGACCAGTTAGCCTATCAGTCTGGGGTGACAGTGGCTGGCTGAGGTGATAAGTGACAACCAGAAGCAGTTTATGGGATATAAACACTTCTTGGGGATGCTCAAAAACTGCAGGAAGGTAGGTAAAGGCCAGATTTCCCACCACTAAGCAGCACAGGGCTGGATTACAGCGCCTCCTCCCGATCTTGCTCTAAAAGCTGAGGACACGTGGGGTAACCTGTAAACAGCAGTTGGGCTAGTTTTATATTAATATCAAAGTTTAAAATACAAGAGAATGATGACAACAGTTACCTTTACTAAAGTGGATACAGAATGCACTTTCTTTTTATTGTTTATGACACTGTCAACCAGGTCAGCTACTGACAGTCCCACAGACCAGGATCTCTGACCTTTTACCCGTAACAGTTCCATGGCTCTAGGGTACAAAAAAAAAACCATAATCTCAGAAAATGTACAAAACATACACCACTTAGTTTCACATCCTGTTTGTTTGCTTTTTCTTCTCTTTTCTTTCTTTCATTTTTTTTTGTTGGTTTTTTTTGTTTTTTTGAGACAGAGTTTCATTATGTACTTCAAGTTGGCTTGAACTCACTTTGTAGCCCAGGCAGCTTTGAACTCAAGGAGATCCTCCTGCCTCAGCGTCCCAAGTACTAAGTTTATAGGCATGCTTACACAGTGTTTGAGACATTAATTATGACAAAGAAAACAAGTCATATAGCAATTATTACAAAGGCTTATAATGATTATTTAAGCTTTTCTTAAAATGTCAGATATACAGTTCACAAAGAGGACATATAAATGCCCTAAAAACATAAAACAATGGTCACTGTTATGGTTTGTGTCTAGATGTTCCCTGAAAGCCTCATGCACTCATAGATAGGGCTTTTCGGCTGAATTTAGGGTGCATGAAACTGGGATTAAGGGCGTGTGGTACTAGATTAGTCCTCTGATTGGTTTAGCATAGTTCTGGATATGGATAATGGGATGGCTCAACCTGGATGTGGGTGATAAAATGGAAGGGAAACTTGCTTTGCACCCTTCTACCTGCCATGTCATGGACTGTTTCTCCTCTGCCATGCTCCGCTGCCATGGCACCCTGCTGTGGAGTCAGCAGACTACGGCCTTAAACCTCTATAAACTGAGCTGAAATAAACCTTTCCTCCTTCATTTTGTGGGTGTTAGGTATTATGCCTCAGCAATGAGAAAAGCAAGACATTTACCATCCCATATATTTACCTAAATATGAATTAAAGCAATAAATACCAGTTTTGCCTACCAACATAGGCAAAGATGAAAAAGACTGATACTGTAACTCATTTAGAGGAAGCTATAAACAGGCATTCCCTTAACTGCTGTTGAGAGTATAAAGGGATTTAACTTTTCAGGAAAATGACTGGCAACATCTGATGTAGAAATTTCTTTTTTCTAGGAATCTACTCTACAGAAGTATGTTCAAGTGTGCAAAGATATACAAATAAGCACAGGTAGTATCATTTAACTCCTAAAAGAAAAGGAGCTGGGCATGGTGATGCATGCTTGCAATCCTAGCTCTAGGAAGCTGAGGCAGGAGGACCACAAGTAGGAACCCAGGATCCTAAGTGGGATAACTTAGGTGATTAGCAAGACCCTGTTGAAAAGAAAGATGAAAGGAAGAATAAAGAGAGAAGGGAAGGGGAGGGGAAGGGAAGGGAAGGGACAAGGGGACCAACAGAGGAAGACAGGGCAGGCTTGGGGATGCAGCTTAGGACTGCGGGTCGGGTTCAATCTACAGTACCCTTTTGTGGGAGAAGGAGGCTGATTCACATGCACAACATAGAAAGATATATAAATCTTATTAAAGAATCAAGTTGCAAGACGGTACGACTAGCATAAATCTATTTTTAAAATAACATATTTGGAAAAATGCTTCTTGATGCTTGAAAAGCTTTTTATTATCAACGCGTAGTATTCATCTTCATTCGCAGTGACCTTTTCCATAATTCACGCCTCAGTCCCCCAGAGCTATCTAAATCACATCTGTCTACTGGCATACATGCCGCTGAACTGACTACTTAGGAGAAACAGTAAGTGTCGTAACGACAGGCCAACCTACCCCTGATCGTTTTAGTGAAAACAAAACTGTTTCTATCAGACTTTTATTAAATCAAGTTTACCTATGTTAAGTTCCCTTTTAGAAAATTACTGCATGGCTCCTAGTCTTATCAGGACTGCAAACAAATTTTAAAATTAAAGTGCTGAAAATAAAACAATACGCAAGGTTGGATCAAACCATGCCCACAGGTACGTGAAATGCACAAATACAAGCCCAGTAAGTACGGAAACAAAACACTTCCAGGCTGCCCGATGGTAGCACTGGGAGTGCTCTGCTGCTGTCCTCTATACAACTGATAAGGTGACCCCTGGGGATACGTGGACGCTACACAGTGGTTCTCTCTGGGAGATGGAATTTCCCTAGATTTTTCCTTTCTACTTTACAAATATCTACAGTATTTCAAGCTTTCTAATAAACATATATTATTTTTATAAAAAATAATAGAAACAATCACTTAGATGTATTCCTCATAAAAACTACAGGATATGGCTCAGTGGCAGTGTGTGCATATCACAGGGTCTAATCCCAGCAACACCAAATCCATAAATAAACAAAAACCAATACATGCAAGAGTATTTAATCAGATTGGAATGAATTATATCACACACTTCTCAATAAAAAGAGAACCTTCTTTCCGGTTGTTATATTGTAAAAACCGCATGTTCGCTGCTTAAAAAGTGAAAAGTCATCCCCACTCAGACTTCAGAAAAATCTGTTATGTGATGGTAAAGCCACAAATGACGTGAAAATACACAGAAGTGAAACCTATGGGGCATCGACCTCTGGAAAGGCTCAGATAATGGCAAAGGAGCTGCGAATGTCCTTTTCCCTGAGCATATGACGTGGTTTATGCACTCACACTACACTGGTTCCCAAATCCTCTATCTGTGTGATGAATACGAAACTTTTAAGTGCTATTAACAAATTCTCTTTTACATTAAGGAAAATAGTATCTTCAGAAGGTCAGAAACAGGAGAGGGAAATCGCTGTCTACAAGGGAAGAGTATGTATGTCCTGCCCTTCAGATGTCAACTGTGTTATCTGGGAAAATTTGCAAAGCACTTCATCTCTCTTCAGGCAAGAAATCAGAGATTATAAAACACTGCCCCTTATACTTTTGGAGTTCTCTATACTACCTAGTTTTGTTTTCCAAAGCCTGGTAAGCACCGGGTATGGAAACAGCTATTATGTTAACTATGAAGTACATGATTTTTAGTTGAATACATGCAAATTTGTACCGTGTTACCTGTTGGACAACTGTGCCTGAGAGCTGTGATTCATTGCTTGTCCACCCCATGTAGGCACTAAAAACAAAATGAAGAATTAATTATAGTTTGTCAATGATTCTTTTAGGATTAAGATGCAATGAATGATCTTTTGCACAGAAGCATACCTGTATTAGTCTTTTTATAGAAGTGTTTCCCTTCTAGCTACAGAGATTTTTCACTGATGGTGTGATGGTGTAGCATTTGCACACTTCTTGCCAGCTGGCTCCCTGACTAGCCCAGAATGCCCAGCAAAAGGCAGAAGATGAAGCTGAGGGGAAGCGCACGCTAGATCCTAAGTGTCTTGTGTACCATGGAATTCCTCCGCAGGCTGTAGCTATTGTCTCTCTGACAACTTGAAAAGAGTTATTTTACTTGTACAACTTCTAGTCTTGTAACTGTTTTCAGATCCTAATGTTGCTTTCTTTCAAAGCATAGTTTTACATGTCCCTTTGCCAATTTTGTTGGCAAATTTCTATCACCATCTTGTCAATCCTGTAGTAATCCTGCATGTTTAGTCTGTGCCAGACACTGTATTCAAGGCTTGAAATAAAATTATCTAATTAAGTAACAGCAAGAAAGAGCACAGCTTTAGTCAGGCCAAGGCCCAGGTCTCGGTGCTGCTCTTGCTGGATATGTGACCTTAGGCACATTACTTAGCCTCACTGAACTAAGTGTCCTCACCCATAAATCTGAAAAAACACTTCCTCCTTTACAAAGAATTTAAAAAACTTAAATGAGATGCAGAAGACCTGCATGAGAAATATTTAATATACACAGTTGGCACTTAATAAAATCATTATAATAATTATTAATTATATCAAATGATTACTATGAGGATAGCACTTCTGCAAAAATGTCACCAGCTGGTGGGTACACAAGAAGTCAGCAGAAGGAGCCTCTACTCCACTTCTGGCTTGATGAACCTACGTCTCTGTAAAGCTCAAGTAGAAGACAGGATAAAAAGTGACCTGAGGCTGTGTGTGGTTACACGTGCCTGCAGCCCTAGCATGAGAGGCTGAGACAGGAAGATTGCCACAAGTTCCAGGCCAGCCTGGGCTACACAGTGAGTTCAAGGCCAGCGTGAACTACACAGAGAGACCCAGTTTCAGACAAAAAAAAAAGTGATGTGAGGACTGGCAGTATGGGGTGGGGTTCTTGCTTGGCATGCAGAAGACCCTAGGATCCTGTGTGGCCCTGGGTTTGATCCTCAGCACTGCAAAGTCCAGAGGAAGAAGTGATCTGAGGTACTTCTAGATGACAAGCAGGAAGACAGACTGGGGAGAGGTACAGTTGGCTTCAGTGATACTGATAATGTTGACTGACCAAGTGGAGATTCTTCAGGGTGTATTCTATTACTATGTTTTTTTTTTTTTTTTGTACAGAGGATCGAACTCGGGACCTTGCGCTTTCAAGGCAGGCAGCGGAACCACTGAGCTAAATCTCCGGCCCTGTTTTTTTTTTTTTTAGGCAGGACTACACTCTGTAGTTCATGCTGGCCTTGAACTAGAGGTAATCTTCCTGCATCAGCCTATTGAGGGCTGGGAATACAAGTGTGAGCCACTACATCCAGCTACTATGTTTTAAAACTTGCATATACATTATGTCAAACATTACGGAATGCTGTACTTTAGGAACCTCGATTCAGGTGCACCTGCACCGTCTATTTCTAGTTCCTATCTGAGATCCCAAGGCAGAAGTGCCATAGAAATGGCAATCACTTTTAGCTCAGTGGAGCAAATAAATCACTGTAGGGATGTGACAGGAAAACCTTCAGGGTAGGGGGGCTTGACTTAGACTTTGAAGGATGAGACTGTAAGGGCAGAGATGGGGTAGGGAAAGGAGATAAAGGCAGTGGGTGGAGATTCCCAGAGCTCACACGAAGCTGTGAGGTGGTCCTGGGAGTCACCGGACCTGGGTTTGAGGTCTCAGCCCTAAAAGCTGTAGGCTACCAGGCAGCTTCCTCTTATCATCCCTGAACCCACTGCTCCCTAAAACAAAAGGTAACAAGACCATGGCTGCCTCTGTAACTGTACTGGGAAGGAGGACTAGAGCTACATTTAGGCTCCCTGACTGCCAAGCAAAGGAATTTAATGGTTTGCTCAGAGGAAGGCCCTGAAAATGTTTGAAAAGAGGAATGTTTTAAGAAGACTGAATTAAAATGTGAGAGCATACAGTGAGCACTACAAGTTTTAGCTAGCACCGTAAGTGTCACATCACAGGGTAGACTAGAAGGGAAGCAGACTCACTGGGAGATTTACAAAATCACCAAGCAAGCAAGAGACCATGGGGCCAGAACGCCAGGGGTAGCAGTGAGTAGAACTCAGGGTTTTTGGCTTGTTTGAATCCCTAGACATTAATTACTCTAATACATTGACTCCAAGTTCTTGTTTGCTACCCTTTTCTAGGTCCTAATGATTAGTGTTTAGTGTCACCCAGCACGGGACCCTGAAAAGTATTTCTGTTCGATCAGTCAGGTTTAAAAGGATTTATTCTATAACCTGACTCATGTTGGCATTGGACTTTCTAAGTAGCTAAAGCAGATTTATACAGGTTTAAAATACTGTTACATTTTTAATGTTCTTAAAATTATATAAATACTACCTATCCATATAACAAAATTAGAAAATTCAGAGAAGCAAGTATCACCTCCTCCTCAGAAGAGAGGTGATTTCCTACATAACGTTCTAACCAGGGCATCTCCATGCCAAATAAAGTAATAGTAATGAAGTTCAAATGATGAAGTAATTCATTCCCCCTTTCAAATGACCCTTTCAACATTTCATTCTCATGGTTCTTCTGTGCCTGAAAATCACCTTCCAGCTTGTTGATCAGGTATTGAAAGATCTCAAAAGTGTGATTTTTAACCAGGTTTATCTGGTTAAAACCCTGTGCTACACGGACGTGGCCTACCTAACCATGTGTCATTGCCTGTTTCTGATTTCCCATTCTTGGAGGTCTTTGCCACTCTTTGCTATCTATTCAAATCCTATTCAATAGGTTTTTTTTATAGATATTTTCCCTAGTGACTTCAACCCATGCCAAATGCTCATAAGTCAATAATATTCATATTGGCAGTTAGCAAGTGGTATCCTATACCATACTTTTAACTAAAATATGTGATAAAAGGCAGGGCATTTCGCTCAGTGGTGCTGCCGCCTGCCTTGCAAGTGCAAGGTCCCGAGTTCAATTCCCGGTGCCCCCAAAAATACATAAATAAAATAAAATCTGATAAATATTGTTCTTATTTGTTTAAAGTACAATGAGGGCAGAGCCCATGTTCTATGCCTCTTTCCTACCACACTAGCATCTAGTACAGTCCTGAACAGACAGCAGACACTCATTTACTTGTTTAAATGAATAAAAATGGACAACATGAGAGGAAACAGCACTTATATCACCTGAGCAACCTGGCTTTATAACATGAAAAATAAAGAAGGAAAGAAAGAGATTTTCAAGTCAAATAGGGAAAGTGTTCTTTTTGGATAGAATAAAAGGTTTTTCCATCCTTAAAACTGAAATTGAATGCTTTTTGTGGTAGAGAGAAAGCAATGCCTGATTAAAAAGGCTGTAAGGATAAACAATGTGAAAATTCAGTTTTAAAAAGTAAGAACCAGGTATTCTAGGGAAAAGGTCTGAACTTAGGAAAGGTAAGCAAGGCTGAAGGGAGATGAGGATGGGAAAAGTTCTGTAAAGGCTCTACATTGAGTTAAATATTTATTTCTGGAAAATTAAACTTTTAAATCCATCTTACACTCTAATTCTTTTAAAAAATATAAAGCTTGGCCTAGGGGTCTTGTCTAACCTTAAACTTGAGGAAAAGTAATATAATGAGAATAATACATATGAAGGCTCTATGTACATACAACACAGGGCCTGTTATGTAGAAGGTGTCAAATGTGACATAAAAGCCATCTGAGCTCATTTATCTATCTTTCTTTCTTTCTCTCTCTCTCTCTCTCTCTCTCTTTCTTTCTTTCTTTCTTTCTTTTTTGGTAGCAGGGATTGAACTCGGGTCCTTGCACTTGCAAGGCAGGCCACCGAACCGCTGAGCTAAATCCCCGGCCCTGAGCTCACGTTTCTAAAGTCCCCAGATGTCTCTAACCCCATGACCGCTGGTAATTTATCAGCATAATGAATCAAAACGCACTTCTTACCTTTGTCTTCTCCTTGCTCACCAATAACCCATACTTCTTTGTCTGAAGTCTGTGCTTTCAAAATGTTTGTGATAATATACTGTAATCTCTGTGAATCCAGATTACATCCAATTCCAATCACTTGATTTGCAGGAAATGTACTCAGTTTCCATGTCACATAAGTCATGATCTCCACTAAATGTTGCATAAAAAGTGAAAATAAAGATTTTTAAAATATACTTCTAGCCTATCTCACAAGTAAAATATTTATTATTTTATTAGGCAAAGTATTTTAGAGCTTTTGTATACTTGCCAAATATACTGAGGCCTTTTTTTGGGTACCAGGGATCAAATTTAGGCCCTTGCATTTACGAGGCAGGCATTATGCCACTGAGCTAAATCCCCAGCCCTTGAGGCATATTTTTAACATCTATTAAATACACTAACCAGGCTTCAAGAAATTTTACACAATTTTGTTGTTTAAAAATATAAATTGTTAGGGCCGGGGATTTAGCTCAGTGGTTCCGGCACCTGCCTCGCAATCTCAAGGACCCAAGTTTGATCCCCAGTACCAAAAAATAAAAATATCTATCTATCTATCTGTCTACCTATAAATTGTTAGAGTGGAAAACAGATAATTTTCTAGAATAGGACAATAAAAACTGGGTACAGAAAGCTAGAAAATAATAATTACATTTCACCAATGAATTCTATTTTGTAACTAAGTTAAACTGAGTTTCTGGGGTTTTTTTGGGGGGGTACCAGGAATTGAACTCAGGACCTTGCGCTTGCAAGGCAGGAGGCAGCACCACTGAGCTAAGTCCCTGGTCCTGAGTTTCTGTTTTTAAATTAAAATATTGTCAGGCATGAATGTGCAAGCCCAGCTACTTGAGAAGTGATCCAGAAGGATCCCAAGTTCGAGGCCAGCCTGGGCAACTTAGTGAGACCCTGTCTCAAAATTAAAAATAAAAAGGGCTGGGGAAGGAACTCAGTGGCAGACAGCCCATGGTTTTGATCTCCAGTGCAACAAAAATAAATAAAAATATTGATTTATACACTACCACTATGAAGTAGACAGTCTTTTGAACAAAAATTTTCTTTCATGCCAAAGAGGTGTCAGGGTTAAACAGACCAAAGTCCCTCAACTGATTACTGTGGAAAAACAAATGAAATGCATATCCTAACCTTATATTGGGAACAGTCTTTAAAAATCTGTTCACCTATTTGAGTCCAATACCACCTAACCTTTTAAAAGCATTCCTTTTTGACTGAAATGCATAATGGTTGTTGGGAATTGGGAAGAAAGTGTTCAAATGGGAAGGGAAACAAGGGAGGAAGGAGGGAGAAAGGAAGGAAGGGACAAGAAAAAAAGTGAAAATAGAAAATCATGGAAACAAAGCTTCTGTACATAGGGAGGGGAGGGGGCTACAGCGGGGAGTGGGAGAAAATAAAAAGTAACTGGCTGATAGGATATGTTAATGCTACATTACTCAGAATGAGAGCAGTTTTACTGAAAATTCTATCTACTGCCTGTACTCTAATAAGTTTTACAGCTTTTATCAGTAATGGCTATTCTACTACACACTGGAACATCAAACTAATTTAAAAGAAAGCCCTTTACCTGGCTGAGATGCCACGATCATGACTCCATGTTGGCTGTAATGTGCAAGACCAGGGACGAGGGCTCGGAACATATCCACATTACTCTGCACCACATCAAGGTAGGACTCAGAACTACCCAGAGAGTTGACTGTGAAGATCACCACCTTGGAATGAGCAGAGGCAGACAAATCTAATGAATAAAAAGAAACAGTCTGAGCTCAAGATACAGACTTGAATCCGGTTCAAGTTCATGATAAAAAGGTTTTTCTTTTCAACAAATGGAGAGCTTCTAGGCTTACTTGCCCCTAGATCAATCCTATCACTACAAGAGCATATAAATAAAATAGTACAAGTTAGAGCAAGAGTACTGTACATACAAAGAGGGAGCAGGAGCAGTAAATACCAATAAACATAAACAAAAAAATTATAGGATGCAAAACACAAGGACTGAGTCTTCTATAAAATTCCCAAATTTTTTTGTTTTGTTTTGTTTTTTGAGACAGTCTCACTATGCGGTTGAGACTGACCTGGAACTCACTATGCAGCCCAGGCTGGTCTTGAACTCACAGCGATCCTCCTGCCTCAGCTTCCCGAGCGCTGGGATTACAGGTGTGCACCACCATGTCGGGCTAATTCCCAAAATTTTAAGGGAAAATAAATAATATGCCATCAGCTATCACAATTTCATCACTTGTTTCTGATCTGTAAGCTTAGGGCTCTGTCAAAGAGGTTCGGAAGCAACCTGGGAGGAGCAGGATAAAAGCAGGATGAGGGTGGGAGGCAAAGTCCAGGTCACTTAATTGGGCCTCTCTGAGCAGATTAGTGCTTTTTTTTTTTAAACCTGTTGAAATTTCAAAAGTCTTTGTTGGCCAGATTTTTAAAATTTGTTTATTTATTTATTTTCTTACTGGGGATTGAACTCATGTCCTTGTGCTTGTGAAGCACGTGGTGGAACCACTGAGTTAAATCCCTGGCCCTGCCTTTTTTTTTTTTTTTTTTTTTTT